CACCGTCTGTACCGTCGCGTCCTGAGCGTTGCACCGTCTGTACCGTCGCGTCCTGAGCGTTGCACCGTCTGTACCGTCGCGTCCAGAGCGTTGCACCGTCTGTACCGTCGCGTCCTGAGCGTTGCACCGTCTGTACCGTCGCGTCCTGAGCGTTGCACCGTCTGTACCGTCGCGTCCTGCGCGTTGCACCGTTTGTACCGTCGCGTCCTGAGCGTTGCACCGTCTGTACCGTCGCGTCCTGAGCGTTTCACCGTCTGTACCGTCGCGTCCTGAGCGTCGCACCGTCTGTACCGTCGCGTCCTGAGCGTTGCACCGTCTGTACCGTCGCCGCAAATTGCAACTCGAGGAATTACTTGACAGCTTGCTGAGCTATTAGAGAGATTTGTATTTTATTTTTAGTGTTATTTGATCAGCGTACTGGATTATTGCTGGTACTCGCCTTGAAATTATGACACTTCTCGCTCTCCTGAGGTAGTTCTCTATTTATGTGGCGTACTAATGGTAATTTTCGAGATTATAAGGAGGCTTAATTTTCTTTTTCCTTCCAAGTTGTGAGTGAATAAAGATGAACAAAAAATGGTGAGATTTTAAAATAGAAATTGCTTTGATTCTTTCTCACTTTTCCCATTTGTCAAATAATTTTAAAAAAGCAACCAAACAGTTTTTAAGAAAAATCCAGACGTGACACGGCGATACATTGAGGCATGTGTCGCTGCTAGTGAAATATTGTGAGGTTAAGACCTACACTTGCCCTTAGCTAACAAAAAGTGTGATGTGCTCGCACAAATGGAATGCGTGAAATAAAGAGCTTGCATTTCTGTGATTTCGTGCTTGGCACAAAGAGCGTAGAGTGTGCTGTGGTGCTGCAAGTGTGCTGTGGTACAGCAAGTGTTGTGCGGTAGCCTTGTGTTGTTGGATTCTCCGCTCGCTCTTCTGCCGTCGACAACGAAGCATCATGGACGACATGGTGAGTGATCTAAGTTATCATTAGTTGCTACTATTAGGTATATACATCCATTTTCTTCCGTTATATATATGTATTAGCTGCAGCCGAGTACAGTCACAAGCTGCAGCCGAGTACAGTCACAAGCTGCAGCCGAGTACAGTCACAAGCTGCAGCCGAGTACAGCCACCAGCGTTAATGTAATGGTGCGTCATATCGCTGTCGACTCATGCCTGAAGTGATGTGAACAGGTCTAAGCCTTAAATATTAATAACTTCAAGATAAATAGAGAATTAATATATAATGAAACTCGTCAACTTTCAAGTCCGTGCTCGTTGAGTTGGTAGTTTTCGTATCAAGAACTGCTGAGCGTTTAAGTGAGAAATTCAAGTTTAGCGTGCATTTTGAGAGACACGTTAAAGATTTGATTCGAATCTGCGAGATGATTTTGCTTCTTGTTGATGTTTGATAATATTTTTTAATAATGTTTTGTGTTTCTCGTTAAACTTTAACGAAAATAAGCTAAATATTCTGCTTGTGTTGAATTTTATGGTGATTAGTAACAAGAGACGTACGTGGACGCTTGAGTCTATATAATATAATAACCTTCATTTCTTACACCCGCAACCTTGAGCAAGAAGCTTCTTTGATGCATTCTCTAGTCTATAGTTTAGAATTTTTTGTGGTTGTTAGCAGCCGCAGCCCATCTTGGGAACCTTATATAAGCTCCATATCACGACTGCCATCGAATATACTCTACTCTTCTACAGACGTTGCTTGTTTGGCATCCTGTTTACCATCATGACCATTTACATCTATGTATAATTTGCAAACGCGTACGATTATATATAATTATATATAATATAATTTTCAGTAAACAAGAGTTGCACGATCTCCCGGTCAACGCATGGTTAACCAGTTAATTGATGATGTAATTTCGATAGGAGCAAGCAACTGCATACTCCATGGTGTTATGTTTGCTTGCAAGGCGTTATTTGCAAGCCGTCTTGCTGAGTTAGCATAAGGATCCTTATCGTTTCTGCAGGCGGATATAACACAGGAACTTTGCAGTGTTTTCGCTCTAACTTGCATGTTGCGATTTTCTCGTACTAGTGCAGCATTTACTCTTGCTCATATTGTTAGGGCATTTTCTCATCTATGGAAAAAAGGCGCTATTGTGCTCGTCATGTCCGTCCGTCTGTCTGTCTGTCTGTCTGTCCGTGACTTCACGTTTTCGTCGACGAGAAAATGCGCTCTCTGTCACTCACTGCAGTGAGTACTGAGTTAAGTTTTTGTTTAATTTGTTATGTTCTGGAGAACCTGTTTTTTTACATTGCTGTAAGCGGCCTGTTGTACAAGTGACGTCATTACTGTTGCTGTTCGCTGCCTATCTGAGATGCTGAAGTTGGCCCTCGCTCGTCACCTTTAGTGCAGATCATTGAAGACGTTCGCTTCTTGTAGGTGATGAAGAAATGAACATTTTTGGAATTCGTGATGAGGGAGACTTTCCACCACGTTTGTGATGTTTATTGATGACTCTTGGTGCCAGATAGCTTCATTGCTGATGCGCGAATAAACCACCGCGGTATTTCTGCTTAGTATTTATTTTAGTTGTAATTGTGAGTGAAGTACAAGACATTCAACCTACCTGCGCGAGACCTAAGCTTTTGTCGACAAAACCCAAGTTCTCGATCAAAACTGCTCCCCGAGAGCCTTGTGTCTGCAGCCTTGAATAATATCGTACGGTACTCCTTAAAGGATCTACTCTCGCAATATTTATTTTTGATTAAGATGTTTAGGAGGGTTGATTTAAAACTGTGAATTGTTTGCTGTGAGCAGGCGCTAGCGTGCAAGGTTGACACCGTGACGCTGCTAGAGTGGCCGCAGACTTGAATGAATAATATTGTATGATTTACAAGTTTGTCGCTTGCAAGCTTTGTTTTATTTAACAATTCACAGGTGATTTAATATGGTACACTGTTTGTAGTGTGCAGATGCTGGCGTTCAAAGTTGACACCGTGACGCTGCTTGAGTGGCTGCAGACTTGAATGAATAATATTGTATGATTTACATGTTTGTCTCTTGCAAGCTTTAATTTATTTAACAGAGATCATTTAATATGGCGCACTGTTTGCTGTGTGCAGATGTTGGCGGGGGAGGTGGACCCCGAGACGCTGCTGGAGTGGCTGCAGACTTGAATGAATAATATTGTATGATTTACATGTTTGTCACTTGCAACTCTAATTTATTTAACTGTTCAGAGCTCATTTAACATTGTGCACTGTTTGCTGTGTGCAGATGTTGGCGGGGGAGGTGGACCCCGAGACGCTGCTGGAGTGGCTGCAGATGGGCACGGGCGAGGAGCGAGACATGCAACTCATTGCCCTGGAGCAGCTCTGCATGCTGCTGCTCATGGCTGATAACGTCGACAGATGCTTCGAGACGTACGTATCTTGAATAGCCGTAGTTAGTACTTTGAGACGTACGTATCTTGAATAGCCGTAGTCAATGCTTTGAGACGTACGTATCTTGAATCTTCGAGACGTGCGTATCTAGAATAGCCGTAGTCAATGCTTCGAGACGTGCGTATCTAGAATAGCCGTAGTCAATGCTTCGAGACGTGCGTATCTTGAATAGCCGTAGTTAGTACGTATCTTGAATAGCCGTAGTCAATACTTTGAGACGTACGTATCTTGAATAACCGTAGTCAATGCTTCGAGACGTATGTATCTTGAATAGCCGTAGTCAATGCTTCGAGCCGTTAGTACTCTTGAAATATTTTAGTCAATACTTCGAAAGGTTAGTAATCCTGATTAATTCGATTCTTCGAGGCACCAGTACTCTTGACTTGAGTGATTCTATGGTCGACTCTACCAGATGACGGTGCCGCTATTAATGATAGTCAAGCAACGGTAGAGTTTATCATCATCAAACCAGGTATCACATGAGCAGTGTAATGCGAGGATATTCGCTTCCAGTAATCAGCATACGTCATCATAGCTTCATCATATTACTGTCTCAACATGATTCATTTTATTGTCGGAATACGCAATGATAAGTACCAAAGACGATATATACTGTGCATCGCTGTTAATTTACATGCATGCTCGCTCATACTGTTGCTAATACGTGGCCATCGTTAATTAATTGTGACTTGAGAATTTCTCTATTAATTCTCTCGACATTAGTTGAGCATAACATAGACAATAGAATATAATTATTAGAAATGTTCTGGCGAACGCTCGTACACGCGCATTGCAGGGCATCACTGTAACCTCAACCAGACGCTTTCTTTGCGTTTCATGTCGGTCTTCGTTCGTTCTATGCTCGGATCTTCATCAATTTACACGCTCGTGAATGTCATTCGTCTTTTTTATTTTGATGCGACCATAAAGGCTGCTCACTCTGTTTGTGAAGGTCAGGTCCGGTGACCTACCGTGCTGTACACACGCAAGGGTGAGGCTTTAGGTGTCCAGAGAAACACCGGTTACGGTTTAATGTTGCGGTTGGAATGACGAATTTCTCATGACAAGTGTTAAAATAGCCACGGCCTGGCGATCCAATGGTCGACGAGTATTTTATACGACCTAACCATCCCATGATCAACTAGTGTTTTAAACGACATAACCACCTCATGATCGACGAATATATTATAGGACCTAACCATCCCTTGATCAACGAGTGTTTTAAATGACATAACCATCCGATCCCATGATCGACGAGTATTTTGTACGATCTAACCATCGTACAAACTAGTACGATGGTTAGATCGTACAACTATATCAACTAGTGTTTTAAACGACATGATCGACGAGTATATTACAGGACCTATCCATCCCATGAACAACTAGTGTTTTATACGACCTAACCATCCCACGATCAACTAGTGTTTTATAGGAACTAACCATCCCATGATCAACGAGTATTTTATACGGCCTAACCATCCCATGATCGACGAGAGTTTTGAACGACCTAACCATCCTATGATTGACGAGTATTTTGGACGACCTAACGACGAAGATTTTTCGCAGCGAAACTATCTCATGATCGAAGATAATTTTTTATGACCTTACCATCCCATGATCGCCAATGTTTAGGTACTTGCACAAAAATCCAGTTGAGACCAGTAATGCTCGATTCTTTTGACGTTACAGAAGTGAACGCTTATAAATGAAGAGAATTAATCTAGCACATGCCGATTATTATATCAATGTGAAGCGAAGGTCTCATCTGAAGGCTGGCATGAGATGCCGTATTGAGCTGTTAAGGTCAGAGCCGACTTGGCGTCTTAGCGACCAAGATTTCGGGGGATACTGCTGTGTGCATACAATACCGCTTGCCTACACTGCTACTTCCATTCATTACCGCGTGCATTTACTGTCGCTTGCATTCACTGGCACGTGCCTACACTGCCACTTCCATTCATTACCGCGTGCATTTACTGCCGCTTGCATTCACCGCATGCACCTGCAATCAGTGGCCTCTTTTATGGACTATCTCTTGCTTACATTGCGCTTGCATTCATTTACTGCTACTTGCATTTTATTTACTACTGTTTGTAGTAAAGTGCTACTATTTACTGCACTTACATTTACTACCGCTTTCACTAATGGTCAATTGCATTCTTGGCCACTTCAATTCACTACCACTGCGGCACTGCCTCGTGCAGCCACCACCGCTTCTATCCACAGTGATGTGCACACAAACTACCGGATTATGAGTGCAACAACGACTCTTGGATGTCACAGATAGTACAGTATTTCTGCCCGTGCCTCTGCCTCTTAATTATAGCTTTGCTTCACATGGCCAGCGGCAATTAACTCAGCGTCTTGCCTCTACATGCTTTCAGGAAAATTATTGGGTCATATTGTCCAAATAGTGACATTTCTTGCACGTCGCACTGATACGCCCTTTTGTAGGTCTACACTGGGTCAGGATGACCCACATTATGGCAAAAAGTGTATCACTATTTGGACTAAGTCTCACTCATTTCTTTGAGTGTGAGTTTGAATATTGATTGTGGTAGTAGTTAGTAATGCTTATTGATGTCCAGACTGCGAAATTTGTTGTTTCTAGGCCTGAAAATGCAATTTATTAGCTTTTAGCACTGAAATTCACCAACATTATTGGCTAATTAACGTGCGCTCAAATAATACATGTATGGAAGAACGATAACATGTCGAGATTTGCAGACTTTGGTAAAGCATTGTTGGTGTAAGCCATTCAAGATCTTAACTCCCAGCTATGATGGCGTAATTTATAATGCATAATTGCTATGGGAACACCAATGTACTGCCCCCAGGATGCATGTGATGTTGATGGCTCTTTCACCTCAAACACTTCGTAGCAACGCTAGTTAACTCTAACAAAAGTACGAAACAACATCCAAACGCTTGGTAGCAAGCAGCGGTTAAAATGTTTGGACAGCAACCTCTTCTGCAATGAAATCGACAAAAACTTGGCAAGCTCGGTCGATTTATTGCATTTGGCAAGAAATTCACGCTAATTAAACACACTTGGTATTCTTGACGCGTAGAGTTTTCAACGCTTGCGTTGAACAAATTGCTCGCTGTTTTTTTTTTTGTCTTGGATCAGCTAATTGTACTGTAATAGCTCGAGATCAGAAAACTAGTTATTGTTTTTAAATTGTATTCAATTGTTGTTCCACGTACAGATTGGCATTCACAGCTGCATCTCGAGCGCGTGCTGCAAACAATGACTGGTCGAACAGTCCTCACATGCAGTGCTAATTTAGTGCTTATGCCGTGCTAATGTGCTTTAATTTAGTGCATCTGCAGTGCTAATTTAACACAACTTCAACCCTTTACCCTAATTCGACAGATATAACTGTAACTTTTAAATATTATTGAAATTTGCCGATGCATTTATACTCTTCGGATAAGATCAGTTCCTGGTCTCCAATCATGTTTCGGTTGTATTGATTACTACTATAAAGTTTCTATGTATATTTAATTTACATGCCAACATTGTACTGTTTACATCTGTGATGAGTAGAGTTGTCGTAATAATGAACGCGTGTGTTATTATGGCTTCAAAACACACTCAGAATTGTGAATATTCGTGCCTGTCTTGGGCGTGTATAAGCGTCATCTCGAAAAGAGATCTGCATTCCAAAACGTTGGAGCGTGTGTCATGGGAGCGGCCATCAAAAAATCCAGTCCCGCTCCCATCATGATGCTGTACATATAATTATTGATAAATATTGGTATGTCAATTATATTGGAGCGCTTTATTCTGCTATCAATGACACAGGAGTCGCCATTCGGCAAATACTGCACTTAAAACGCCACTCGTTAATGAAATCGGTATAAAACTTGCCAGAACTACGAATTGTTAGGTACTATACATACCTGCAAAGCTGTTTCAATCTCTTTAGAGACTTGTTAAGTTTTGTTTTTAAATAGGCCTTATCTATTGAAGACCGGCGACATAAGTGCTGTAGCGAGTTGAGTGGCATCGACGGTTCCTTAATAATATTGTGATTCCGTGACGGAATTCACTGATGGTCAATTAATGTCATATAGTTTGCGGGTGTTAAACTTGTCTTATGTTGAACACTGAAAGTTTTAATCAAAAGCATTCCATGGTCAGCCATCAGTGAGCCATGTAATCATAATTATTATTAATTATTATTAATTATTTCTGCCATTTAATTATAATGTAATAATGCATGTGCCCGGAAGTGCGCTCGTTTTGCCCTCTGCTCCCCGTTTTCTGTGTCATGATCACCACTCCCCTGGTGATGGCATCACTGACTGGACCAATCCTTCCATAGCTAGCCAGGCTCCAGACTGGCATATCATATATATATTATCTACCAATTTAGCTTGTGATAGAATTACAGTGTGAAATAGACTATTGATGTCACTTATTTGCTTAAATCGCAAGTTAACTAAAAATTTAAAAACAAAGAATAGACCACAAAAATTCATATCATAAAAAACGTTTCGGAGTCCAGCTCCATCGTCAGTTCGTAGAATCTAGAATTCACATGGAAAGTTACAAATTAGTACAATTAGACGATGAAACATCCGTCGTTGATATTTCTGTACTGTTCGAATAAGAGATAAGGTGTTTGAGGATAAGGTATTGGATTATAAAAAGATATTTTCGTGCACCGTTGACCAGGCGAAGCGACGGGCCATCGCATAGCGCCGTTAGAATGCTTGCATGTTGCGTGATTTTTTTTCTCGTTTCTATGGCTTGTAAATTTCGTGATGCTGCTGGCTCGAGACCAGCGGCATTCAGGGCCGTGTCCTTGTGACATCCCCATGGGTGCACAAGGAAGGTTGGGGGGGAAGACAGCGAAGGGCCACAAAATTCATATCTTTAGTGTTTAGTGTTTTAGTTTAGTGTTTTAGTGGGTTTAGTGTTTAATTTGATATTTACAACTGCCAATTTTATTTGGCTAAAGTTTTTTCGT